AAAGGAAGCAGACCCTGTGGAGAAGCTCTATTCTGGGAGCTCTGGTAGCGTAGTGCCTAAGGCACTTGACTGCGAACCAGAAGGCGGTGGTTCAAACCCACCAGCCACTCCCCAGAAGGAAGGTTGGGCAATCTACTTCCGGGTGATACCACCTCGGAAACCCAGGAGGGGTTGCCATGAGTCGGGTCCGACTCGCTGGCACATAACAACAACAACAACAACATTCTGAACACATGGGGTAACCATGAGTTGAAATCAACTTGATGGCAAATAACAACAACGATTGTATAACTTAATTTTATACTTGCTTTTTCACTCTCGTTATTTGCTGTAGTTTTTCCATTAATCCCATGATCTTTTACCACATTGCACTGAGCACTTTTAGTTTTGCTAGTTGTTAGTCTATCAGATAAAAGGATTACTTGGCAAGGGGCCTCCTTGGTCAGAATGAAGTTCCCTTTTGTTCACCATTTCCTTGTTATTACTCAGCACTGCTGCAATGGAGGTCTTGAATTGTTTTTCTGAGGCTCTCTTAGACTGTTAGTCTTATTCCAGGTTCTCCCAGAAGATCCTGAGATGAGTATCTGAATGCAAACAGGTTATTTGAGAAGTGATTCTAGGAAACCTTGATAGGAGAGAGGGAAAGTGAGAAGAGATAAGGAAAGAATGCAAATAAAGGTTCCCTTTTCAAGGAAGTTATCACTGCAGACGGCTGGAGCTATTACTGCACAGAGAGCTTTGGGAGACTGTATAGAGCATGCCTCAGAGTTATCCAACCACAGGGCAAGGAAGCCAGAGTACTCACCCACCAAATCCCTGTCTATCTTTTGGTGAGGATTACATTCCAGGCATTAATGACCACCCAGCTAGTAGGACAGAACTGGGATTTAAACTTGGAGTGGCCACCACTGTCTGCTCTAACCAGTAGCTGAACTGGGGGCTCTGGAGTCATCAGCATGAATCCTGCTCAGAAATTTTCTGGCCTAGTTTGCTCATCTGTAATTGGGGATGATAATAATACCTACCTCATAAGGTTATTGCGAGCATACCAAAAAATAGATACAGATGTATATCTATATAGATATAGATATGTAGCTGTAGGTGTTGATGCAGAGATAGGTGTAGACATAGATGTTGGTGTTGGTGTTGGTGTTGGTGTCAGTACAGATATTGACGTTAGTGTAGATGTTGATGTAGAAGTAGGTGTTGGTTATTGTAGGTGTAGGTGTTGGTTTTGGTGTAGATGTTGATGTTGGTGTGAATATCAGTGCCTGTGCTGATGTAGGTGTTGGTGTAGGTGTTGGTTTTGGTGTAGGTGTAGGTATCCATGTTCTCATAGATGTTGATGTAGACATACATGTCAGTGTGGAATAGATGTAAGTGTTGGTGTCAGTGTCGTGTTGATGTAAGCATAGGTATAGACTTATAGATATGAATGTGACATGCTCTGCCCAGCACACATTGAGTGGCCAATCACTGGGACCTGATGGATCATTAAGTTGTAGGGCTTCACTGAAGAAGCCTATGAACCTAAATTACTCTCACTTCCATGCCTCCTCCATGTAGTCCCTGTTACCCTCTCTGTCCTCAAATCCATTCTCATTTGCCTGCTCTTCTCAGGTGGGTGTTACTTTTTATCCTCTCATGAAATATGTTAAAGTCTTACCCTTACTGGCCTGGTGTGACCTGCCCCTTATACCACCCAGAGAAACCCCTTCCCTTCCCTTTCTTTCCTTTCCAGTTTCATTGACACGCTTAATTTGATTTCATTCTGTGGTACAGCATCATCTTCTCTGCATTTTGGAGTACGTTGGTCCTTCTGCAATGTTCCTTCCTTTGTGCCTGTCTCTTCCTTTGCCATTCTTAGAACCTGTGTGCTATGGTGGGGACATTCCCCAACACACAGAGCAAAGACAAGTTCTAATAAAATCAGATTGGTGGATTAAATGCTATTAGATTGCTCATTATTGCAAGTTAAAATGATGATTCCATTTATTAATGTCATTTAAATTGGACACTTAAGCTCCCTGTGGGATTGTGTCTTGCTAAAGTGTCAGGTGACAGGGCCATTCTCAGAATGGCAGAGGATGGGTTGCCAGAGGAAGATGAGTTTCTTTAAGTGGGTCCTACTGTAACTCTGTGTACATGATGGTGTTTTGGGGAATCCACTCTTTCTGTGTTTTACCAGTTATAATTTGGAGACAGTTGCCTGAAGATGCCCTTGGGGTTTATTGACCATATTTGGAGGGCACAAGAGGATGGAGCAAGTCACAAACCATATCTGAGCTTATAGGAAGCTAGACTAGATGAATGTGGCACCTACTTCTGTGGATGAGTTTTCTGGGACCAGAAGTGTCTCTGCGACACTGTTATGGGCATTATCTTAGTTGTCTAGTTCTGCTATAATAGAAATAGCCCAAATGGATGGCTTTAACAAACAAAAATTTATTCTCTCACCGTTTCGGAGGATAGAAGGATGAATTCAGGGTGCCAGCTACAGGGCAAGACCTTTGCTGTCTGTTGGCTGTGGGGGAAGGCCCTTGTTATCATTCTTCCCTTGGGTCTAGGAGTTTCTCAGCACAGGGATCCCAGGTCCAAAGGACATGCTTTACTCCCAGCTCTCCTTTCTTGTTGGTAAGAGGTCCCTTTTCTCTGTTCTCTTCTTTCTCCTTTTATCACTGGTAAGATGAAAGGTGATACAGCCACACCCCAGAGAAACTCCCCTTACATTGGATCAGGGCTGTAACCTGAGTAAAGGTGCTGTATCCTACCCCAGTCCTCTTATAACTGATTGACTGATTGCATCATATCACATCATGGGGGATGATTATAACATTACATAATTGACAGTGAGAATCATGGCCCAGCCAAGAGGCACACATTTTGTGGGGACACAATTCAATCCATGGCAGGTATCTTTGTTCATCTTTGGAGAGGACGTGGCAAATGTGGAGATGCATATTTGATCAGACATGTTCCTTTGCTAATTCTGTAGGCAGTAGTCCTAAGCACAGTGATTAAACTTTAAACTAGTTGCTGTTGAGTCAACCTTAACTGATGGTAACCCCATCTATATCAGAAAACCATAAGGTTTCCAGTGACTGATTTTTTTAGATGTCTATCACAGGTGTTTCTTCTGAAGCACCTCTGGGTGCCCTTGAACCTCCAAGCTTCCTATTAGCAGCTGTGCACATTAATGATTTCCACCACCCAGAGACTACCTGGTTGGACTTCAGGGCCATTCTAACAGATTTGTTGGGGCATGGGGAGGGCCTTCAGTATTCTGAAGATTGGATACGAGTATCTCCAGAAGAGCTGAAGTGGAAAGAGGCAGGTATAGTTACTCCCATAGACGAGCCTACCTGCCACTTAGAAATGGAAGGAAATGGGAAGGTTTTCAATGCAGACTTGTAAGTGGGAGACAAATACCATCAGCTGACAGCATTGTGACAAGCGTGCAGAGCTGTTTCCCGATTGTTTTAGTCGGTGCAGACTTAAGGAGGAAACCAACACTGACACAAACCAATTGCAGTGATCGGGAAACAATGAAGTGTTGGGAGTAACTGTTGAAAGTCTATAATTTCCAATGGAATTGCTGTTTAGTCATCATATTGCTGCTGAATGACATCGGCGGGCTGGGTGGGAGCTACAATTAGCTGCTGTCACCCTGGCATGACTTTTTTTTCCCCTTACAGACAATGGAATATTAAGACATCAATAGCACCATACTCTGTGCCCAATTGTGAAATGGTCCATTGTTCAAAGGAAATAAGAAGTCGGAGGCTCTTGCCCCAGGCCACAAAAAGGGAGGGGGAGCTGATCATTTTCTCACCTCTGCTGTAGAGAGAATCCTGTAAGCCAGCTCATATCAGAAACAGTCACTTCATTTGCCTTATTTGTGTGAAGAGCTGTCCCACCTTGGCAGAGAGTGAAATGGAGTGACTCGTGGTTGTGCAGAATCATTTGGCATTGCTTATTCTGTGCTGAGCATCCAGGGGCAGAGTAAGACAGAGCTGGCCATGGGGTGGGCAGTAAGCTGTTTGCTTCTAGACAGTTTCCCTTGGAAGTTAGATCTACCCATGCCTGCTAAACCTTGACTTTGGAAGTGGTTTACCAGAGCCCTTGCCCATAGCTGTCTGAAAGGCTTAGTTTTCTCCTTCCTTGGTGTTCCCAAACCAAGAACATATGACCACACGTAACCATGTTGCTCTCTGTGGCTGATGTATGAATTCTTTTTGGAAAGTCCATGGTTCTTTCTGTTTGCTCTTTGAAATGGTACAAAACAGATGTCCCATTCTCTTAGCAAGCTGGAAATGATTTTAAGATACTGAGGCTATGGGCCCAATAGATGAATTTACCTGGCAGTATCTGAGCCTTCTGACAGTTAAAGCCCAAATGGGAAAGAATCAGGTACTTAGCTCACTTGGGAAGGACTGGAGATGGTGTTCCATATCTAGCAATAATCTAAATGCAGGCTGTGAATCAAGAGCATTTGGCCTCCACGACTGGTTCTTCCATTGGTCTGTTCTTAACATAGTCATCTAGCGTCTGCGTTGAACTTATTTATTTCCTAATGCTGGGTGATGGATTAAAAGATGTGTAGAAAATCCTTCTACAAGAGATAAGCTGTTGCAGGCGACCACAACCCCCCCCCCCCCGGGCTCTTTTTGCTTTCTCTCTCTGTTTTGCTGACTTTTCAGGGCATAATGTAAGCCCCCCACATCATATATCCTGATTAGATGGTGGGTATTACTAAGGGGATGTTTTTTAGTCCTATCACTGACACATTTAATTCATTAGATACCAAATCCACAAGCAAATTTTGGCTGGCCGTAAAACACGGTTAATCCAGGGAGCTGCAATGAAAGGTGAAAAATTATGGTCCCGCAAATGTGGAATATTGCTTTTCTGTAGAGACTTTTACTGGCCTGCAATATCTTTCTTCATAAATTTCTCTTCCGCTTGGTTCTGTTGGTAATTTAACCATTTGTTGTTTCCAGACCACAGAATGGCTCTATGATACTCTACAACAGGAAGAAGGTGAAGTACAGGAAAGATGGGTATTGCTGGAAAAAGAGGAAAGATGGGAAAACGACCAGAGAGGACCACATGAAACTGAAGGTCCAGGGAGTGGAGGTAAAGATCGGACAAGGTTCTCTTGTTGCCCAAATGTTGTATCCTGAGCTGAAATAGAGAATGGAATGCTTTGAAGTAATGTGATACCAGTCCCCTCTGCCAACAGAATTTCTGATTTGCTAAGATCTCATGTTTTCCCTCCTAATTTCTTACCCTATGGTCTCCATTCAAGTTTTCAGTGAAGTTGGATTTAACTAAAGTGCTCATGTCCTAGGGAATCATTGGTGTATAGATTGAGATTTACAAGGTTCCTGCAGACTCATTCTATTGTGTTTACCACAGAAGAGTCTCTGGGTGCATGGAGAGTTTGAAAGTTGCAGAGGCCAAGGAAGATAGCATGTGGTATAAGCAAGCTCCCTCTTGAAGTGGCATCAGGGTCTACCTCTGCCAAGTGGTTCATCAGGAGCTGGTAATTCTCCAGCCAGATACTGGCTTCCCTCCCTCGATGGACAAACCCTTCCATTCCCCTGAGTATTTCAAGTTCAGAGAGCATGCACTTGTTAAAGATAATAGCATAATGAGGTGTGTGTGATTTTTGTAGGGCTGGGGTAGAAATGGTTGCTGCTGACAGCATCTTGGAGTCTTGCACACATGTTGGGGTTTGGTCCTTGGGTAGAGACTGTACCATGGTGCAGGCTGATTTTGCTTTAGTTCCAAATACTCCCAAACACTCCCCACTGCCTCCCTGGACTGTAATCCTTGGGCAACTACTGAGAAATTCCCTCAGTTTCTCTTCTCCATCCTCCGATGGCCTGGCTGTGCATCACAGAAGTAGAGGGAGAGGATATAAATTGTGTGAATTGTTGGCCGGCTAGTTGTGAGCACCCACTGCTCTGCCTTCTCACTGACCTGGGTGAAAGAATCTTTCCCAGAGTCTGGCTGTCTTGGGCCAGGACCTGAGAAGCCTGCGCATGATCTACTTGGTATTTCTAATGGGTGGAAGAGAGGCACCCTGGAGTCTCTGGGTGTGCTGGGCCCTCGGGCGTGCCATGATTGATCGCTAGGACGGTAAGCCCACTTGAGCTCAATGGATTGCCCTGCCATGCTGACATCTTTTGTGACGCATTTTGTCATTATGACTTTTTCTATATTAATCATGTGCTTTTATGGCTGTTAAAAATAGCATCAAATGGCTTTTATTATATTACCCTACAGAGAGAGATAACTTTTGTTTATGTTTTTTTTTTATTTGTACCTAATAACAATGCTTTATGACAATGAACAAAGGCAAGCCTCTGTACAAGAAAACTCTAGTTCCCTACCCTCTCCTGTGCACAGTGTTTGCACAGCAGGATTTAATTGACTGCATGGAACATTAAAATGCAGATTACCACGAACATGCTGCTCAGAACCACCTCTAGGACTGTGACCATTGATTGTGCAAATATATTAACCACTGTTGCAGGAGCTGAGGGAGGCCAGGTTCTGCTCTTGGGGAGTGGGACACTTATCTCCCACAACAGAGTAATCGGTACAAAGTGAGGAGAAGCATGAGTGGGGGGTCAAAGAAGGAGGAGCTAGGTCACTGGGACTGACAGCCTGCATGAGAGGCATTCACACCAAAACTGCTCTGCTGTACCTGTGGGTCCCCGTGTATCTCATCTTTAGTAATACGTAAATCAGAAACTTTGGGTTGTAAGTAATAGGGCAGAATTCTTCCTCAGCAGTGGCTCAGAAGCCCAGGGTAAAACATAGCCACACTGTTCATTTTCTCCCCTTGTGTTGTAAATTAGAATTGTCACAGAATGGAATCAGAATGATTTATGGCTATTTTTGGGCTGTATTTATGTTTGGAGTTATTTGTGGTCCTCATGCTTACAGACTAATGAGTAGACGCATGTGCGGGGCAGGAGGGACCCTTTGGACACGGAGGAGGGAAACGTGCTAGGCAGTGAAGGGTTTCCAGACACTCCAAGAAAGGGTCTTGGAGAAGTCTGGGGCTGTGACAAGACGAGATTTGTTTTCAGGTTCTTAAAGACAGAAGGCATTAAGATAGAGTGTTGTGTTGTTATGTGATGGCCTTCCCATCAAGCTCAGGGGCCACAGGAGTTGGGCAGATTAGGCCTGGGCCACATGGGAGGTGGGCAGCTGAGGATCCTCCCTGAAAGAGATGTCCTATGAGTCAGGTAGCAAATATTTATGGTGTACCTACTCTGTCCAAGCCCTGTGGTGTCAGCAGAGAAAATAGAAGCCAGCTGTGTTCTTTGCCCCCATAGACTCATGATCAAATTGAGGACACAGCCATGTCCATGTTGTTCTTCAGTGCCACCTAGTTGATTCCAACTCATAGTGACCCTGTGTGAAAAAGTAGAACTACTCCACAGGGTTTTCCAGGCTGAAATCTTTACAGGAGCAGATCATTAGGTCTTTATCCCACAGAGCAGCTAGCTGGGTGGGTTCGAACCAATAGCCATTCATTTAGCAAACCACTACACCAACAGATGTCCCATTAAGGTAATTAATGGATCTGAGAAATACACAAGCCTTAGCTTTTATAAGTGTCCTGGGAGTTCAGAATGGGCTGGGATTGCTCAGGGGAACTTCCCAGGTGAGGTGGGACATTAGCTGAGTTCCTAAGGTTGGGTAGCATTATGTATGTATGTGTAATGTACATGTTGTTTTGTTGTTAGTTGCTGTTGAGTCAATTCTGAGTCATTGCAACCCCTTGTGTGCAGAGTAGAACTGCCCCATAGGGTTTTCAAGGCTGTGATCTTTTAGAAGCTGATTGACAGGCCTCCCTTTCAAGGTGCCTCTGGGTGGTTGGAAGCACCAACCTTTCAGCTAGTAGTCAGACACTTAACCATTTGTGCCACCCAGGAACTCTGTTGTATAGCTTTCCTTTTTTTCACTTTGCCCCTTTTAACTGTTCCTTACTATTCCACTGTATAAACACTTGAGCCATTCCCCTATCTGTGGACTTCTAATTCTTTCCAGTTTTTCAGCATTGCAAGAATTGCTTTGATAAACATCCATGCGCATGTCTGCTTGCATGCATGTGCAGCCTAGGCTTGGGATTATTGAATTACGAGGTAGAGGTATGAGCAAGGGCCCTTGGGTGATACAAATAGTTTGTGCTCAGCTGTTAATCTAAAGGTTGGTGGGTTGAACCCACCCTGTGGCACTGAGGAAGGAAGGCATGGTGATTTGCTTCCATAAAGACTGGTGTTTGGTGATGAGGCATTGATTCCAACCCATAGCAACCCCCTGTGACAATGTAGAATTTCCCCACCGAGCTTTCTTGGCTGTAATCTTTCTAGTAGCTGATCACCAAGTCTTTGTCCCACAGAGTGGTTGGATGGGTTGGAACCACCAGCTTTTTGGTTAGCAGCAGAGTGGCTAATCATTGTGCCACTAGGGCTCGTAACAGCCAAGTAAATCCTATGGAGCAGCTTTATAACACATAGGGTTACCACAATTCTGCATCAACTCAGTGGCGAAGGGTGTTTTGGTTTTTTTTGAAGAATGAGCATTTCCGTTTTACTCAGCACTCCAAAGTGGCTGGACACTTACAAGCCCACCAGCACAGGGGTTTACTAGTTCCTCCAGACCCGCTCACACACCAGTGGATGAAAAATGGCACCCTACTGGAGTTAAATTGGAAATTTCCTCAATTGTCAGTAGGGATGAGCACCTTCTCATATTAATGGAAGTCCTTTGCTGTGAATTGTCTAGTATGGGATTGGATTGTCTACCATGGGCATGATTTGTAGACAGCCCAGCAGACAGACTTCTCAGGCAAAACAGCACTGCATCTTGCCAGCATTTCTCTTGCAGTAGCTCTGATCTGGACTAGAGGCTGGAAAGATGAGTGGGCGTGCTCTGGGACTGTGGGCGCTTGGTCTTTTCCACCTGGGAAATGGTGATGGGGATGTGCACTGGGACTTTGCATCTCATAGGAGGATGAGGTTTCTGGGTTTGAACCTGGCTTACCTCTCCAGGCAGGTTCAGAGTTGGGCAATTCCCATTGACTTAGTTACCCACGTCATGCATGCATGGCACCAGGCAGCCGCCCCTGCTTCTCAGTGAGGCAGACAGTGAGTCACACCGTTTTGGCTCTATGATTTTTCTACCACCTGAGCTGGTTTCCTCAGTTCAAGGGCATGATAAAGATATTGGATCTACCATTTAACATGTAACTTGCTATAAGCCTTCCCCCAGGCCAGGAAAACATTCAACCCTGTTCACAGAACAGCTCAGTGGTATAGCTGCTTTTGTTCTCTCTGGCTGGGGCCCTAGATACACAAGGCAACTCAAAGGCACATTGATTTTCTCAGCCAGGCACAGGATGGGGGCAGCTGCTTTTGAAGCTGATGAGCTGTTAGTTCCGTGATTGGTTGCCTTGTCTGTAAGCCAAGGAGAATCCAGCTCAGTCAGCTCTCCAATAACACTGGGCTCCATGGTCAGGAGGTTAGGCATGACAGGGGTTGTCAGGGAGGAAAGAGAAGGTGGCTGTGATGTTGACAGTTTTACAGATGAAATCTCAATATATCTCAAGTTGTTCCCCACGCAGATTTATGCCTGCCTATGCGATACCTCAAATGATGGAGGGAATGTGGGGTGGGAGAATTCCTGAGAGCAGACAGCCAGACCTCAACCATACCATGCCTCCAGTATGGCCTCAGCTAGGGGTCTACTCAGCTGGCTGAATCAGAAAAAGTTGATGTTTTTCTCTGGGTCAAGCTAGAGGAGTAACTTCCAAGTTCACAGCACTTGTCTCTAGCCCCACAGGCTTTTCCGAACCAAAAACCAAACACACTGCATCGAGTCATTTCCAACTCATAGCGACCCCTCTTTGGGTTTCTGAGGTGGTATCACTACGGAAGTAAATTGTCCAACCTTCCTTCTGAGGAGTGGCTGGTGGCTTTGAACCACCAGCCTTCTGGTTAGTAGTCACATGCCTTAGGCACTACGCCACAGGCTTTTAGGGCTATCTTATTTGGTCCTCACACCTCCCAGTTTGGGAGTGTTGGGGTATCTCACAGAAGCCAGGCTAGCTCCTG